TACCTCTCGGGTGCCAGCTGAGGAGACGGGACGCGAGGCTCGGAGGCTGCTCGTCTGGCTGCAACATTCTCAGCTTTTCTCCCCATGAAAGGCGCGGCATGGCGCCTGGCGTAGAGCCGCCGCAACGCCGCGGCGGTGCCCATGAAGGCGCCGGCCTGGGCGGCTCTTCCTCCTCCTCCTCCTCCTCCTCCTCCTCCTCCTCCTCCTCCCCCTCCTCCTCCTCGGTCCTCCTCCTTTCTCTTCCTCCCGCCCAGGCACGACTTGCACCCAGGCCCCGCCGAAACCCGCTGGACAGGCACGACTTGCACCCAGGCCCCGCCGAAACCCACTGGCTCTACGTATGTCGGGCATGTCCTCCTACAGGCGAATTTTGGAAGAGAAATTTAAAAAGTAGTTAGCCAAACAATATTCACAAACAGTCAGAAGTAGTCGAAACAACGTTCCCAGACTATTTTGGGACTATTTTGAATATGTCTCCTGTAGAGGGACATGCCCGGCTTAACACTGGCTCACGTTGGCTGTCCGCGGCGCGGTGCGAGGTGCGTGCGCGCGCCGAAGCGTGGAAACGCGCTCGTCACACAGAGCAGGCCCCGTGCACAGCCGAAGAGGGAAAGGAGGGCGAAGGCCCCGCGCGCTTCCGAATGTAAGACATGTCCATTCTGCACCGCCGCCGTCCCTTGACAGAGCCGTCCCTTGCCCAGGGATAGCCTCCTCGCCATCAAAGAAGACCTAGCGGGTCTCCGGATGTTTACGTTGATGAAACAGGTATCTTCTGATGCTAGTCTGCAGCAGGCTGGTCGACTGAGAGGTTGGCCTTGCGGGAGCTGCCTCCATAATACTTCCTCGTCAGCTGGCGGCTCCAGGGCTTCCAGGGGCGCCCTGCGAGGTTCCACGAACATCAGCGAGCAGGTTGCAGAGCAGTATGTCCTCTTTGACATATTGTGCCACTGCTGAAAATCTGATACCTTCGCGCGTCTTGCCGCGCGCTCTTATGTCAACGCTGAGATAATTCCCCAATCGTTGCTTGCACTGGACGGGTCCCACCGGATATTGAAAGATTCGGCGAACATTTCCCGCCGATTTCGGTACCGCCTAAGCCCCCGGTTCCAAGTTCCCGGGTTCGTGGTTGGTTCCGGGCGGATTTCGGCGGGTTCCAGGTTCCCGGGTTCCCGGTCGATCTTTTTATCGATCAAACCATCCACTGATTGGGGCTTCTCTCGTGTAGTGTACATACAGATGCAGTGTAAACCGCACACCTTCGCGCGTTTTGCCGCGCGGTCTTATGTCAACGCTGTGAAAGTCATGCGTGCCTGCTGTGGGTCACCTGGCCTCGCGCGTCGCGCTGCGCGGCTCGCGCTGGTCTTCGAGCCTCCGCGCTGCCACGCTGGAGACCGGCAGCCCTCGGCCCCAGACCGCGGGGCGCGGTCCTCTCTGCACCGCGCCCCTGCGGGCGATCCTGGGCGTGGGCGTGTGCGGCCTGGCTCTTTCAGCGGAAGAGGTTCGCTCTTGCCCCGCAGATTGAAAAATGTGAAGCCTGGTTGGCTCTCGATGATACCTTTCTTCCTGCCATCGCTCGGGCGTCCATCCCGTGTGCATAGATTCGGTGCCGTGCCTTTGTCTTTCTTCCCGCGAGAGGGATCCCAACTGCTCTTCGATGGCCCTCGCCGGAGGAAAGAAAACACACGCCCGAACGATCCCAAACACTCCGGCCGCCCTGGCCCCGAACCGTCGGGCCAGCGGAGGCTTCTTCGCATGCAGTGGCCTGGGCAAGAGGGGCTCGTCAAGCGCGACGCATCTTGGCGTGAAGAGCAGCCGCAAAAACAGGTCGGAAACTGGCACCTTGCGTTCCCGCTGGGCCTGCAGGCCCCCGTCCACACGTGCCCGTAGACGTCGCAGATAGAAACAAAGAGAGAGAGAGAGAGAGAAAAAAAAAAAGAGAAAGAGAGAGAGAGAGAGAAAGAGAGAGAGAGAGAGAGCAAGAGAGAAAGAGATAACAAGAGAGAGACAAAATAAAAAGAGAGAGAGAGAGAGAGAGAGACAGAGGCCTCATCCCCATCCTCCCCCTCCTCTTCCTCCTCCTCCTCCTCCTCCACCTCCTCCTCCTCCTCCTCATCCCCCCCCATCCTGCTACTCCTCCCCCCCCGTCCTCTTCCGCCCCCTCTTCCTCCTCTTGTTCCTGTTCCTGTTCCTGTTCCTGTTCCTCCTCCTCTTCCTCCTCTTCCTCCTCTTCCTCCTCCTCCTCCACCGCTCGACAAAGCCGCGGCGTAGCGCGTCGTGGGTCCGACGCGCCTCATCGGGGGGGGGGGGGGGGCAAAAGCCCAGCCCCGCGATTCCGACACCCCGCGACACCCGAGAGCTGGGTGCTGCACACTCCTGGCGTGGCACGCGGGGGGGAAAAGGAGGACGACGAGAGGAAAAAAGGAAGAGGCGCCAGGTTCACCACGTAGATCGTGATGAGCACCACCCACCCGCCGAAGGCGGGCGGCCCCCATGGCTCCCTGGCTCTACAAGCACCAGGGGGCACAAGTTACCCCGCGTCGCTGTGCGGGGCACGCGGCGCGTGTTTCCGCGCATGGGTAACCTGGCCCGCCACCGCAGGCCCGCTCGCCCAGAGGGGGCCAGGCGATACATGTCTTGAACCGTGCCCGTAGGCCGACCCCCCAGCCACACCCTTGCCCCGCGAGGTCACGGGAGGGCCAATACAGTGGCTGGGGCCTGCCACCACAAAAGGCAAGTACCAAGCAGGCCGACGCGGACCGAGATCCACGCCGGCCCCAGGGGGGCTCCCCTCGCGGTCCCAGATCGCCAGGTCCCCGAGGGACCTGAGGCGGCAGACCCGTACCACAGCGGGACCACCGCCAGAGCACGGCGGGGCCGCCCCGGGCCCGTCAGGGCACCGGCGCCCCTGGCCCGCCGCGCCGCCCCCGCGCAGGCGACGTCTTGGCGGATTTCAGTTCGCCCCAGGAGCCCCGACGTGCAGCCCACACGCCGAGGTGCCCTCCTGGAAACACCTCGTCCTCCCCCCCTTCTCCTCCTCCTCCTCCTCTTCCTCCTCGTCCTCCTCCTCCTTTTTGTCCTCCTCCTCTTCCTCCTCCTTCTCCTCTTCCTTTTCCTTCTCCTCCTCCTCCCTTTCCTCCTCCCTTTCCTCCTCCCTTTCCTCATCCCTTTCCTCCTCCTCCTTCCTCCCTCCTCCTCCCTTTCCTCCTCCCTCCTCCTCCCTCCTCATCCCTCCTCCTCCTCCTCCTCCTCCTCGTCCTCGGCCTCCTCCTCCTCCTCCTCCTCCTCCTCCTCCTCCTCCTCCTCCTCCTCCTCCTCCTCCTCCTCCTCCCCCTGCCCCTCCTCCCCCTGCCCCTTCCGCGCCTGTTTCGCTCGCCACGGGCACACCAACATATAGCACCACCGATACACCATGGGCCCGTGGAGTGAGTGAAACCATCCATCCAAAGTCGGACACTTGAGAAGGACACGGGTCCCGAGGGAACCAGGCCCGGGGCCCCGGGGGCGTTCCCCGGGACCACCGACCCTCTCGTCCACAATCGCTCTCGACGGCCCCTGGGCACGGGGGAGGCCCCAGGAACCCGACGACGGCGGACAACCTCCAGGGCACCCTCCCTGCCCTGCACTCCTGCCGACGCACCGCCAACGCATCGGCGACGTGGGGACAGAGAGCACCGGGCTCTGAGCCGTGCCGCCCTGCCGATGAATCAGCGCGATCCTCCTGCCCCAGTTGCTCCTGCCTCATTTTGTCGGCTTGTCTCCCGAAGCTTCCCGATCCTCCCTCCTGGAGCATGCGGCCTCAGGGGCTCTCTCTTCTAGGTCCTGCCGCTTCAGGGTAAAATGGAAGGGCGAAGCGGGGTGGATGAAGGAGCAAGGGGAAGATGATGATGATGATGATGATGATGATGATGATGATGATGATGATGATGATGATGATGATGATGATGATGATGATGATGATGATGCTGATGATGCTGATGATGCTGATGATGATGATGCTGCTGCTGCTGATGGTGATGGTGATGGTGATGAGGATGAGGATGAGGATGAGGATGAGGATGCTGATGCTGATGCTGATGCTGATGCTGATGCTGATGCTGATGCTGATGATGATGATGATGATGATGATGATGATGATGATGATGATGATGAGAAAGAGGAGGAGAAGGAGAAGAAGGAGGAGGGGGAGGAGGGGAAAGGCCAAGGAGGAGAAGGAGGAGGAGTAGAGGGAGGAGAGGCAAGGCTGATGCTGATGATGATGATGAGGAGGAGGAGTAGGAGGAGGACGATAACCTTCATGTCTGCTTCTCCTCCTCTTCATCAAGTTCCTTCCCTTCTTTTCTCCTCTTCCTCCTTTTCCTCTTCCTTTCCTTTTCCTCCTCTTCCTCCTCCTTTTCCCCGTCAGCCTTTCACTTCCCGCCTCCGGTGGTGGCAGTGTCAGGTGCACCGACCACCTGTGGAGACGAACCCCAGCTGCACCGCCCTCATGTGATGGCCGACGGGTCTCTGTCTTGTTCCGCCGAAGAACAATTTCCCCTGTCAGCTGCAAGGTAGGTGACATGCCGTGAAACATGCCCCCCCTCTCGACGAGGCCTGCTGTGGAGCACGCCCCCCCCTGTCACCGCTGAGGTGGCGATGCGCCCTGCTGGGGACAAGGTCCCCCTGTCAAAGGCAGATGCCGCAACTGGCTGTCGTGGAGCTCGCCCCCCGGAACTCCTAAGGTGGCGCCCGCTTAAGGTACTGACCTCCAGCATCCAGCCTGGTGTCAGTGCTGGCCACAGCAGGGGTGGCTGCCACAAAGTAGGCGTCTTGCACGAAAGCCATAAGACAATACCACGTGCCAACATCGGCCCATTGTATCAGGCCCCGGGATCAAGAAACCTTGTCCGCCCAACCTTCGCGAACTCCGCCTTCAAAATAGGAGAGCCCGTACACCCCTACCCGGATCCCTAGGTGCATGCCTACCGTCAAGGGCATCTGCAACGCACTACCATCCTCTCCCCCTCCTGCTGCTCTGACAGGCTCGCTCTTCACCCGCCACACCCCCTGTGCCAAGGCTCGAGCGGATCAATGCTTCCCGTTTTCGGTTTATGTTCGTTGTCCTTCGGTCTGTCCTCGTGCTGCCTTTGCTGCGAAACGGAGTCAACACGAAACGGTCGACGAAATCGCTAAACACCGTCTAGCTCAAGCCCTGCTCTGTGCGTCTCGAACTCCTGCCCGACCCGATAGGACACCCTCAACGCCCAGCAAGTCTCCTCCGCCGCGCCCCCAGCAACGACAGCTCCGCCAGCGAGCCCAACGACCATCGCCGCGCGCTCTCCTGGCCGGTCGGCCTCCGCGCGCATCGCGGCCCGGAGCTGGCGCGCCGTTGCCGCCTTCAAGCCAGCTGGCAACTCCGCGCCCTCCTCCTCCTCCTCCTCCTCCTCCTCCTCCTCTCCTCCTCCTCCTCCTCCTCCTCCTCCTCCTCCTCCTCCTCCTCCTCCTCCTTCCTCCTCCTCCCTCCCCCTCCCCTTCCCCTCCTCCCCACCTCCTCCTCCTCCTCCTCCTCCTCCTCCTCCTCCTCCTCCTCCTCCTCCTCCTCCTCCTCCCTCCTGCTCCTCGGCCTCCCCCCTCCCTCCTCCTCGATCTCCCTCCGCCTTGCTGGTCCTCCTTTCCCCTGCTCCCTCCTCCCTCCCTCTTCCTCCTCCTCCCCCTCCCCTTCCCCTCCTCCTCCTCCTCCTCCTCCTCCTCCTCCTCCTCCTCCTCCTCCTCCTCCTCCCTCCTCCTCCTCCTCCCTCCTCCTCCTCCTCCTCCTCCTCCTCCTCCTCCTCCTCCTCCTCCTCCTCCTCCTCCTCCTCCTCCTCCTCCTCTCCTCCTCCTCCTCCTCCTCCTCCTCCTCCTCCTCCTCCCCTCCTCCTCCTCCTCCTCCTCCTCCTCCTCCTCCTCCTCCTCCTCCTCCTCCTCCTCCTCCTCCTCCTCCTCCTCCTCCTCCTCCTCCTCCTCCTCCCCCCCCCTTGCCCACCCCGCCTGGGGATGCCCCTCCCGTGCCCCCCCCCCCCGTGGCGGGCGGCCGGCGCCGGCCGAGGCGCGGGCGCAGAGGAAAGGGAACCGCAGGTCCGGGTGCTCGCCGGGGTGGTCCTCCGAGGCGCAAGCGGTGCAGGCACAGAGCGAGGAACAATTGCAGGCACAGAGGAGGAGGAGGCGGAGGAGGAGGAGGAGGAGGAGGAGGGGAGGAGGAGGAGGAGTGGAAAAGGAGGAGGAAGAGGAGTGGAGAAGGAGGAGAAGGAGGAGGAGGAGGAGGAGGAGGAGGAGGACATGACATCCTTCAAGGGCATGAGGCCTCCTGCCAGCCAAAACACATGTGTGGCGTCAACGGCCAGGCAAAACTGCACCAACGAGCAGCGGTCCGCTGCAACCGATACGCGAATGGGCCGAGACAGGCGGACGGCCGCAAAGCCAGCCAAAACACACAAAAAACATCCACGGGTACCCTCCCCAGGGTGCACAAACAACGTCCAACAGACACGAAGAACGTGATGGCACCCTCCCCGAATCGACCTCGATCTTATAGCTCGGTCCGATTGTGCGCTGTTGGAATTCCGTGCGGATTTCTCGGAACGCCGCCAGGGCCCCCTGGCGGCGACTCCGGCGCCGTCACTGGTACGTTCTCCGCGCGCCAGGGAAGGGTGGGTGCCCACCGCAGATTTTAGACCTCCGCGCGGAGCTCTAAACATTGATGTGGTCTGCCCTTTTTCCCGTAGTCTAAAACAACGACGTTGTTCTTGTGGTTGTGGTTGTTGTTGTGGTTGCTGTTGATGTTGATAATGTCGTTGCTGTTTTTGTTGTTGTTGCTGCTGCTGCTGTTGTTGTTGTTGTTGTTGTTGTTGAACTCTCCCTACTGAAGAATCATTATTGTTGATCCCCCCTCTTGTGACCATTGTACTTTTTCAATTTGAAGTGCTTTCCCCCGGGGCCCGCACCCTGTTTTTAACCAGGGAAGGTCACGAGGTTCAAACTGTGTCGGTGGCCCCCGGTTTACAACAACAGCGGTTCCCGCCTCATTGCCTCACAGTGTATTCCTAAATCGCGCTCCCGCGCAAGACTTCTTCACAATGTGTATACGATTCGCGCTCTTGCGTGGGAATTCCTCGCAGTTGTTTCAACGGATGCGCCCTCGGCGCTCAGCAATCTCGCTCTCCCTTAGGCTTTTCTCACGATTTACTTGAGGATCGCACTATCGCTCGAAATTTCCGCGTGATCCATGCAGGACACACGCTTCAGCAACCCGGTTTCTCGACCTGGTCGCCTGGGCCCGCCTTCCCGACTTGCCCGCTAGATGGGTCTGCCCACCCGATCTGCCCGTCTGGTTCTACCACTTGTTTTCTGCTCCTTGCCCCCCATATTGCAATTTTTTCTTGTGTTTCATTCTTCCCCCTCCCCCTTCCACCCGTCTTCTCTTCCCTTGTTTTTCGGGGCTGCGTTACATGCGCGTGGCAGGTGGGGACGATATACCTCCAATGGGGTACGAACGAAAAAGACGAGGGCGGGTACCGAGGGTATTGGCTGGCACGTGAGCAGATGGGAACGAACAGTCTTAAAACGATTATTGTTGTTGCTGGTGTCGTGGTTATTGCTGATGGTATCGTTGTTGTTGGAGTCTCATTTCTGACAAAAGATATTGGTGATCCCCCCCGTCCGGAAACGTATGTGTTTGTTCAATTGAAGCGCCCCTCCTGGGGCTCGCACCTTGTTGTGTTTATGAGGGTTTCCCGCAAGTTCATGAATAATCGCGCTCTCGCGCGGGACTCCCCCGCACATTCTTGAAATGATGCGCCCTCGGTGCTCAGGAGTCACGCTCTCGCTTGAAGCTGTCTCACGACTTACTTGGGAATCGCGCTATCGCTCGAGATCTCCTCGTGTGTTCATGCAAGACACACGTTTCAGCAACCCGCCTGCTCGACCTGGTCGCCTGGGCCTGCCTTCCCGACTTGCCCGCTATATGAGTCTGTCTGCCCACTCGATCTGCCCGTCTGGTTCTACCACTTGTTTTCTGCTCCTTGCCCCCCTCTTGGTACTTTCTCTTGTGCTCCACTATTCTCCCTCCACCTTCCCCCCGTCCTCCCTTTCCCTGTTTTAAGGGCTGCGCTAACTGCACGCGGCAAATAAGGACGATGTACACCTGGTTTGGGATATACGTGCTGAATGGCACGTGAGCAGATAGGAACGGAGAGTCTCGAGATGACTGTTATTGTTGTTGCTACTGGTAACATTGATGTTGCTGTTGTTGTTGATGTTGCTGTTGTTGCTGTTGCTGTTGCTGTCGCTGTTGCCGTCGCTGTTCATGTTCCTGTTCCTGTTGTTGTTGTTGTTGATGATGTCGTTGTCGTTGTCGTTGTTGTTGTTGTTGTTGCTGTTGCTGTTGTTGTTGCTGTTGTTGTTGCTGTTGTTGTTTTTGTTGTTGTTGTTGTTGTTGTTGTTGTTGTTGTTGTTGTTGTTGTTGCGCGCGCTATCTCTCTCTCTCTCTCTCTCTCTCTCTCTCTCCTTCGCCTTCTCTCCCCACGCCAAGAGGCAATTTCCTTAACGACCCCCTCCCTCGCAGCCCTTGCCGACCAGCCGCGGCGCCCGCTGGCCGCGCGGGGGGGGGGCAGGGCAAAAGGGGGGCGCTCCGTCGTCGTCGTCGTCGTCGTCGTCGTCGTCGTCGTCGTCGTCGTCGTCGTCGTGGTCGTCGTCGTCGTCGTCGTCGTGGTCGTCGTCGTCGTCGTCGCCGATTTCGGCGTCGACGTCGTCGGCGTCGTTGTCCTCGTCCTCGACGTCCTCGCCGGCGGCGTCGTCGACGTCGTCGTCGTCGTCGTCGGCGTCGTCGTCGGCTGCGACGTCGTCGTCGTCCTCGCCCTCGTCCTGTTCGCCCCGCCCCGTTTTGGCCCGGGCCACGAGGCCGCCCGCCGAGGCGCGGCCGAGCAGGGGGAGGATGGGGAGGAGGAGGAGGGGGAGGAGGAGGAGGAGGAGGAGGAGGAGGAGGAGGAGGAGGAGGAGGCGGAGGAGGAGGAGGAGGAGGCGGAGGAGGAGAGGAGGAGGGAGGGAGGTGGAGGAAGAGGAGGAGGAGGGGAGGGAAGGAGGAGGAGGAGAAGGAGGAGGGAGGTGGAGGAGGAGGAGGAGGAGGGGAGGAAGGAGGAGGATGAGGAGGATGAGGAGGATGGGGATGAGGAGGAGGAGGAGGAGGAGGAGGAGGAGGAGGAGGAGGAGGAGGAGGAGGAGGGAGGAGGAGGAGGAGGAGGGAGGAGGAGGAGGAGGAGGAGGAGGAGGAGGAGGAGGAGGAGGAGGAGGAGGAGGAGGAGGAGCAGGAGCAGGAGCAGGAGTAGGAAGAAAAAGAAAAGTAGTCCCCCCCCTCCGCGACGCGCGCAATGGGTCAACGTCCCAGTCCGCGCGGCGGGTCAGACGCGCGCGCAGAGAGAGGGGGGGCAACGAAGAGAACCCATCAACACAAGAGGAGCAGCGGCGGGTACCCGGCGCGAGAAATCCGTTGTCCCAGTGCTCCCATCGAACTCAGACCAACGCGATTCGAGCGAATCTCCGCTCCTGCAAGAGCCCGAACCACCATCGTTCCCCGCCGAACGGCGGGCCCCGCCCACCCCAGCAGCGGAGCAGGAACACAAAAAGGGGCACGCCCCACAAAAACGAGGACACATCAGAAGAAAGGACCCAGCGACGCAGGAGCCTCGAAGCACGTCGGGAACCTGGCGCGGGGAAGCTGGCCAAGAGCGGACGGCAGCAGCAGGGCGCCGCCGAAGCCTCGAACTCCGTCGTGAACCTGGCGCGGGCGGGCGGGCGCGGAACTCTGGGGGCCAAACATCGCTCCAGGCACCGCGTGCCGCCTGCAAGCAGGCGTACAGGATGCTCGCTCCCAGGGCAGCTGGCCTGCCAAAGGCCACGCGCTGCTCCCTGTGCCGAGAGACTGATTGTTGACAAACCGACGGGTCGGTGGAGGACAAGGACGAGGAGGAGGAGGAGGAGGAGGAGGAGGAGGAGGAGGAGGAGGAGGAGGAGGAGGAGGGGGAGGGGAGGGAGGAGGAGGAGGGAGGAGGAGGAGGAGGAGGAGGAGGAGGAGGAGGAGGAGGAGGAGAAGGAGGAGGAGGAGGAGGAGGAGGAAGAGGAGGCGAGGAGGAACAGGAGGCGGAGGAGGAGGAGGAGGAGCAGGAGGAGGCGGAAGAGGAGGAGGAGGAGGAGGAGGAGGAGGAGGAGGAGGAGGAGGAGGAGGAGCAGGAGGAGGCGGAGGAGGACCGAACCTCAAGTCCCGCTCGGCAAGGGGGGGGGCGGCAGGCGGGGCGGCGGGGTGGCGGGGCTGGCCCGCGGCCCGCGGGGCGGGCGCGGCGAGGGAGGCGAGACGGGCGGCGGGCGGCCCCTCCCGCGGCCGGGGCCGCGCGGCGGACGGCGGAAGCCAGGCAAGAACGCGAAGAGGAGGAGCAGCAGGCAGCAGAGGGCATGAGGGGGGGAGGCAAGGGACAGCAACGAGCGAAGGGGGGAGGGCAGCAGGAGGAGCAGGCCGAGGGAGCCGCGGAGAGCAGCACGCCGAGGACGAGAAGGGACGCGAGACCGACGGCGGCGACGGGGCGAAGTGACGGCGGGGCGTTGGAGGAGAACAGGCAGCAGACGAAAGGCAGGCGGACCAAGGCAGGTGCCCACTAGACCCTCATCCGACGCAGGGAGGCCATGTCAGACCCTACACTACCCAAAACAAATGCTCAGAAAAAAAACTGCCGCACAACGGCATCGACAGAAACCTGCGACAAAAGCAATCAGCCAACTGCCAAGACCATGCAGAAGAAGGGGTCTCGGGGGAGGGGAACTGAGGGTGCCGCAGGACAACGGGAGACAACACGAGGAGGGGTGGCTCTCACTGGCCACCCATGGGGTGCAAGGGGAACAAGTGGAGGAAGAGGGTGGGGCCCTCCGAACAGCGCAAACCGGGGACCCAGCGGAGCGACCGAAGCGCTCCCAGCAGCTTGGGGCGACGGCGGGACGATTGCCCTCCGCCTCGCCTCTGGTCGCCGCGGCGCCAGGGGCGCCGCCGCCGCAGGCCTCGCCGACCTCGCCGCGCCCAGGCCGCCCGTGGCCCTTGAGGGACGGGGGCCGGCGCCGGCCCATGGGCCCCAGGCAGCTGCAGAGAGCCTGCGCCCGGCCCCGCGGGCCTCTGCACGCCCCGGCCGCAGCTGCCGCCTGCCCCCTCGTGCTGCTCCGCCTCCGCTGCTCCCGCATCTTCGGCGGGCCGCTGGAGCGCTCGCCCGGGGCGTCACCTCTGCCTCCTCCGCCTCCTCCTCCTCCTCCGCCTCCTCCTCCTTCTCCTCCTCTTCCTCCGCGCGATCGTCCTCCTCCTCCTCCTCCTCCTCCTCCTCCTCATCCTCCTCCTCCTCTGGCCCCGCCGCGTCCGCCTCCTCCTCGTTCTCCTCCTCCAGCGCCTGTTCCGTCATCCCCTACTCCTGCATCTCTTCACTCTCCTACATCTCCCCTCCATCTACTCGATTTTCTACTCCAGCCCGTCCTCTTCCATCTCCTCGTTATCCTACTCTCTCGACGTGGCTGAAGTCAGGCAGCTCTGGGTAACTACTGTTGAGCAGAACAAGGGCGCGCTTCCAGCAAGCTGCTTCGCTGGCGTCCGTGAGGTCAGCCAAGCTCTTTTGCGTGCTGGGGAAAGAAACTAGACGTCGAACAACAAACTGACTACGAACACACTAGACCTGCGAATCAAACTGTGCCTGGACATCGCTTGGCCGTCTGTGGCTATCGGTTTACCTCAATCAGTCGTTGTACGGCGAGTTGAGATTTGGTGTATGTGTGGGCGTTCCTTAGATGCTCGCCTCACTCGATGTACAGAGAGGCCGAACAGTCTCAAGGCACAAGGCTTCTGCAAAGGCCTGACAAGCAAACAGCGCAGGCCGTCCCGCTGCAAGAGCCACTCCCTGCAGACGGCGTCCCCGCGGATGCTCCAGGGGCTGCTGTCACCTCGCTGGGCGAACATCTGTTGCGTAAGCGTGAGCAATCGACGAGCGAGCTCTGTATCCTTCTAAAAGTTCAACGCTTGAATCTTGGCCCACCCAGAAGATGCAACGATAACTGCCGAGGATGGGCATGGCGCGAACAACGAAATCAAATGATCAAGGCGATAATGAGGACGACGGTTGTGATCCCAACGATTATGTCTTTGTTGTTTGCGTATCGCTGGTGCACGCGACGAGAACAAACTCGTCGCAAACACATTCCTTCCACATTGCTGATCGTGTGCTCTGACATGATGCACGAACATCTGACGACAAAATGCGCGCAACGATGCGACGAACATGCGAACGAGGACGATGCCAATGATGATGATCACGAAAACAATGACGCCAGAAACCGTGACGGTAATATAGGCGCTCATCAGCCTGTACGCACCCCCATGCGCAAATCGTGCGTGAATGCAGGCAGACCTCGATGGATGAATGAGTAAACACATATGCGACAAATCCAATGACACACAAAACACCATCAAACAGAGAAATGCATTTTGCCTGCGCTGACGCTCCAGAAACCTGCGAAGTACACGCGCCGTATGTACATCGGCAGCGAACTTATGGCAATCACCGGATCAAGGTACAAGAACAACTCATCCCCCGTCTCACTTCACAAGCCAATGAGGCCGCCGCCGTAAAATTTGCCACACGACGATGTTCCTGTCGAGTCCCCGACTACACTATTAACTGACCACGCGGAGACGATTCGAGCACACCGGATCGCTTCTACAACTCCGCCTTGCTGGTGCTGGCCTTGAAGGCCTTCACAGACTTGGCTAATCCCATGCCAGACGCCTTCACCTCTGCAACTGCCTCGTCCTTCCTCTCGCTCTCTGCCTTGTCCGCCACCGTGCCTCGAGGCACGAGCTGGACTGCCCGCAGGTCCATTGCCCCGTCGCCAAAAATGTCAATCCTCCGTCCTGAGGGCTCTTAAGGGGCGCGGGCCCTAAAATCACAAATCTCCTTGGTTTCTTCGCGGTACCCCTGAGCTCCCCCGCGGCTTCCCTCGTGACTTTGTGGGACCCAAGGAGGGCCCCAAGACGACCCCAGCGGGCCCCAAGCGATCCCCAAGATGGTCCAATAGGGCCTCGAGATGCCTAACGATCACTCCAAGACGGCCAAGATGGCCCCAAGACAACCCAAGAGGCCTCTAAGACACCCCCAGTGTCCCAAGCGGCGTTCCAGGAAAGTACCTAGAGACAGAATTCTCTGATTGTCCATTGGTTGTTCACGAATGTCGGTTTTCGCCGCTTCGGCTCCCCGACGCTCCAAGACGGCCCGAGAGGCCCCCAAGATCGCCCCAAGACGGCTCAAGAGGCCTCCTCCTCCTCCTCCTCCTCCTCCTCCTCCTCCTCCTCCTCTCGGGGAGGCCTCTTGAGGAAGAGGAGGAGGGGGAGGAGGGTCGGCAAACGGCCCAAGTGGTCCCCAAGATCGCCCCGAAAGGGCGTCCCAAGACGGCCCAAGGAGGCCCCAAATGACGACTCCAATGAGGGGACCCACAGGGGGAACCCGAACATCAATGTCGAGCCTTCGGCCGCCGAGGGCTGCTGCGGGTGTGGCGCCGAAGCGCCGCGCAGTGTGGCGATCTTCACAACATGGCAGATCTTCGAGGAAAAGAGCGAAAAAGGAGGAGGAGGAGGAGGAGTAGGAGGAGGAGGAGAAGGAGGAGGAGGGAGGAGGAGGGAGGAGGAGCGTGGAGGTGGAGGTGGAGGTTGGAGGAGGAGGAGGAGGTTTGGAGGAGGAGGAGGAGGAGGAGGAGAGGAGGAGGAGGAGGAGGAGGAGGAGGAGGAGGAGGAGGGAGAGATGATAAACTATCCGCTCGGCCCGCTCAGTCGTGGTGTCGGACGAAAACGTGCTTCCAGCGTATCCGAATCTTCAGTGGATGCGATCTGCACCGCATCCGCCGCCCCAGAGCGTGCCCAAGATAGTTCCTCACGTCGTCACCCCATCTGGTTTTGGGTGTCCAAATTTGCGCTTCGCCGTGTAGACTGGTTCGTGTTGTGGGCTCCGCTGGGTCACTTGCCGTGTCTACTCCCACTCGCCTGTAACACTCAACTTCCGCTTCCATTCGTGTTGGCGTACGGTGGACACTCAACTGTTGACACGTAGTCTTGTTATTACCGCTTCGGCTTCTTGTGTCGTCCCTTTGGTCCGTTCGGCCCAAAACTCCATCAATTCGGCCGTTTGTTCATCATGATCTGCTGGTGGTGTAGGTTCCGACTGCACACTGTCCACATCGCAACCATCGCCATCGTCGTCGCTATCGAGGTTATGGTGGTCGTTCTGGCTGCGTGTATGATTTCTGGGCGGCTGCTGTGCTGCTTGTGTAATGGTTTGTGTGGATCTACGCCTCGGTACACGACAATCTTACGAAACATTTGTCGTTGCGTTCGCTGGAATCGGTTTCCCAATTCGGCTGTTAACGTCCAAGCTTCGCAACCGTACAAGATAGTAAATGTGATCGTGCCGCTGAAGAGGCGTAGCCGGTCGGATTGTGAGTTTGTGGTCCCATGTGAGTTTCCGCAATGCTGTGGCAATGCGGTGTGCTACTTCGGCTGCATAGGGCGTAGAATATTGTAGCTCTCGCCCGAAGTATCTGGTAGCACGGTAAGGCGGGAGGATCTCGATCTTCATGCCGAACATTTGCACGTTGACTGGAGCATGCTTGCCGCGTGGTCGTCGGTAACCGTTGTACAAAATCATTGTTTTACCTTGGTGAAGCTCCAGGCCCGCCTTTTCCGCTTCGGTAGTGAGGTCGGAAAGCGCGCTCGCGATGTGATTCAGAGGCCTGGCGAATAGAAGAACATCCCCGGCGAAGGGTAAGTTGGTGAGCCGGTCGTTAGCGTGCTGTTGGAGCTCGAATCCGAAATCTCTTGTTGCCTATTTCGTTTGTGCTCGTCGCATGATGCCCTCGGAGACGTTGTTGAAAAGTAGTGAACTGAGGGGGTCGCCCTGTTTCGTGCCTCGTAGGACGTTGAATGCTCTGCTCTGGCGGTCTGTGTGTACTGAACCTGTCTGCTCCAAGTAAAGTTTGGACAGCAGTGTGGTGACAGATTTGGGCTTATTTCGCTCGGCAAGTGCCCTCCACATGCTCGTAGGTGTGATGGTGTCAAATGCTTCCTTGGAGTCTACGGTTGCCGACCTTACGGGGATTTGCCATTCGTCTGCAACTTCCTGTAATCTGGCTGTCGTGAACAAGTGGTCAGTCGTGCTTCGGTGAGGTCGGAAGCCTGCCTGCTCGGCGCTCTGGTTGCTGTCTAAGAGCGGTTGTAATCGGTTGTAGATAATCCGCGAAAGCAATGTGTACAACATCGGGATGCTGGCGATTGGTCGGTAGATCTTTGGCTGTTACGGGTCTCCACTTGTGTGAAGTACTTTAACCCGCCAGTTGGACGGTGTCGGTGAGCACGGGAAGATAATGTTGTTATACGTATCTACGAGCGCGGAACGAAACGCATGCCCTCCAGACTTCAGCATGTCAGCAGATATACCAGAGACGTCGGCAGCTCTGTTTCTCCGCAGTTGGCGCAAGGCTGTCCCTAACTCTTCGCGGGTAAATTGTGTGATGGTGCATGGCTGCGCGGCGTTGTTGGGAGATTGGTTGCTGGAGTTGTCTTTGCAAGCTGTGTCGTTGTATAGCTTTTCGTAGAAGGTCGCGAAGGCGTCAACTATGGATTGTCGATCGTGCTGTGTCTGCTCAATCCTGTTTGTCATGCTTGTGATGAATGTGCGTTTTCTGACGCAGTTGGTTTCGCTAGTTCGCCGTATGTCCTTGCATTCTGACAAGATGCGTCCGATCGTGGCTCGGTGGACTGCTCTTTGATGGCCCGGATCTGTTTGCGAATGCGTTGAGTTAGTTGGTTGTGTATTACTGTGTCGTGACTGGGCGAAGCACGTCTCTGTCGGAGTAGCTGTGATACCGTGTCGTTAGCTGGGTGGCTGCTGCGGTGGTGATTTGTGCTCGGCGGTTGCAGCTGTACCAACCCATCCCTGATGGATTGCTCGATGTGTTCGCACTGTAGCAGAACTCTGGTATCTTGAAGACGCACGTTGAGCTTGTCAGAGAGTGCCTGCTGATAGTGCGTCGTGTCGGTAGGAGGCCATGCTGGTCGCGATTGTTGCTGGCGTCGTTGTTGGGTGCTGCTCGTATTCGGCTGGTGACGGCTCGTAGTGACGACACAAAACACACGAAAAACACGATGGTCTGACCCCATGTCAACTTCACAGGTCGACTCACAATCTCTGACCATTCGCCAAAACCTGTCGTTCACCAGGAAATAATCAATTTGTCCGTCCACCTTCTGAGGCGATGTGTACTTGACCAGCTGGCTCTGATGTTAATGGAAGAATGTATTGGCTAGCCGAAACCGTTGGGTTGTGGCCCGCTGCCTCAACCACTGCCCTCTTGCGTTCATAGGGTGAAACCCGTGTTGTCCCAGAGTACCTCGAGCATCGTCCGGCGAACGTTGACCAACGCGTGCGTTGCAACCTGCACTGGTTACTGCCATCATGCGTGCCGCATGTGCTTCCTGGCATATCTGATATAATGTGTCGTACATTGATTGGACGTGCTCGTCTGCGTACCCGCCGTGTGGAAAATAAGCACTCCTAATGCGAAGCGTCATTGGCCCTCGTTTGATATCCACATAAGCGATCCTTTGGTGGATGGGGTAGAAAGCAACAACGTACTTGACCTTCCTTCTAAGAAGTATGACAGCCACCCCACGTTGGTAGTCTTTGAATCCAGATCCCAAGAAAGCATGACCACCATCGGTTGTCCAAAACTCGTCGCGTTCGGTCCTCCAGGTCTCATTCAATGTAGCGTCGTCCCACCAATCCAATCCATCGAGTTCGCTGCACAATTCTGTTGTTCTAACTCCAGATATCAGTCCACGAACGTTTTTGTCATATATTTCAAATCTGTAGGTTTCAGCCGAGGGGCCCCCAGGAGGCCCCAACAGGCCCCCAAGAGGCCCCGCCCAAGGGGCTCCAAGCGGCCCCCAAGAAGCCCCAAGATGCCCCCAAGAGGCCCCCAAGAGGTCCCAAGAGGCTCAAGAGGTCCCCAAACTGCCCCCAAGAGGCCCCCGAGAGCGGTCCGAAGAGACCCCAAGGAGCATCCCTGCGAACTCTGACCCACAACCCAGGCACGATGGCGGGATGGGCTGAAGGCCATTCGATCCGCCGCCCCCTGTGGTCTTGCCAAAGGGGTGCCTGGTGTGCTAAACCCTACGGTTTGGTTTTGATTCTTTTCCAGAAGAGCTCCCCTGGGGCTTCGGCCCAGAGCGCTGACCACGCGGAAGGCCCCCAAACGAGCACAACGTCCACAAACAAAATCTCCAAGACGGCTCCAGATGGCTTCTAAGATGGTCACATTGGCCCAAGATGGCCTTCAGAATGGCCAAAGATCGAAGGTGCTTCCAAGTCTGCCGACGAACCCACCAAGACGGCCATAGATGGCTCCAAGATGCCTCCGAGTCCGCCAAAGAAGCTTCCAACCGAGATGACCCACCCCAAGACGTCCTCCAGAAGGGCCCGAAGAGGCTAACATCATAGGCTGTCCTTACCTGTTTGAAGGATGTTGGCATTTGCTTCCTTTCGGCCTCCCGACAGCCCAAGACGACCCAAGAGGCCCCCGAGATCGCCCCAAGACGGCCCCAAGAGGCCTCCAAGTTCGCCTAAGATGGTCCAAGATGGCCTCCAAGTTTGCCCAGTATTGCCTCCAAGATGGTCCAAGATTGCCTCCAAGACGGCCCAAGATGCCTCGAAGTCTGCCCAAGAAGCCTGCAAGACGAACCAAAAGGCCCCCAAGAGGCCTCCTCCAAGACGGCCCAAGAGGCCTCCAAAGATGTCCCCCAGGAGGGCCCGAGGAGGCCAAGTTCATTGATAGTCCTTAGGTTTCGAAAGGATGTTGGCATTTGCTTCAGTTCGGCCTTCCGACGGCCCAAGACGATTTGGTTTAGGTTCTTTGTTCCGAAAAACTTCTCCTGGGGCGTCGGCTCATTGCGCCGGCCACACGGAAAGCTCCAAGCGATGCCCAGGTGGATGCCCAAATCGCCTCCAAGGTGGCCAAGATGGCTTCCAAGAAGGCCAAGATGGCCTCCAAGTTCGCCCAAGATGGTCCAAGATGGCCTCCAAGACGGCCCGAGAGGGTCCAAAAGGATCCCACGTCTGCCCCAACAAGCATCCTAGATGGCCCAAGACGGCCCAAGAGGCCCCCAAGAGGCCTCCAAGACGGCCCAAGAGGCCTCCAAAGAGGTGCTGCAGGAGGGCCCGAGGATGAGAAAATCATTGATTTCCCCTATTCCCAACCATCCTGTGGTGTTGGGCACTCGTTTTGAAGAGACAGCGCCCCGCGTCTCCTCTCCTCTCCTCTCCTCTCCTTTCCTCTCCTCTCCTCTCCTCTCCTCTTCTCTCCTTCCTCCCTCCTCCTTTCTCCCTCCTCGTCCTCCTCCTCATCCTCTTCCTCCCTCCTGCCATCCCTGCTTCTGCCCACCGCATGTCCACCATTTCGGCGCCCAGTGCAAAACTTCGTGACCCCATAGGGAGCTCCAACGAAGGCCCCAGCGGCAAAATCCACAGGGCGGCGCCACTCCAGTTTGGCGCACCCCTCTAACGGATCGTGGCCCCATAGGGAACCCCACCGAAAACCCAACAGCACGGTCCACATGGCGGCGCCGCCCCATTTTGGCGCACCCCTCACTCGGTTCGTGGTCCCATAGGCAGCTCCACCGAAGGCCCAAGCGGCAGGGTCCGCATGGAGGCACCGAACGCTTTTGGCGCACCCCTCACTCGGTTCGTGGCCCCAGAGGGAGCTCCACCGAAGGCTCCAGCGGCAGGGGTCCACGTGGCGCCGCGGCTCCATTTTGGCGCACCCGTCACTCGGTTCGCGGCCCCATAGGGAGCTCCACCGAAGGCACAAGTAGCAGGGTCCACATGGCGCCGCGGCTCCATTTTGGCCATGGCGCCGCGGCTCCATTTTGGCGCACCCCTCACTCTGTTCGCGACTTCATAGGGAGCTCCACCGAAGGCCCAAGCAGCAGGGTCCACATGGCGCCGCCCCGTGTAGGCGCAGCCCTCACTCGGTTCGTGGCCCCATACGTCGCTCCACCGGAGGCCCGAGTAGCAGGGTCCACATGGCGGCACCGACCCAGATTGGCGCACCCCACGCATGGTTCGTGGCAAGGTCCCACGTGGCGGCGCCGCTCCCTTTTGGCGCACCGATCATACGGTTCGTGTCCCCACAGGGGGTTTCTCCGAAGTCCCCAGTGGCGGAGTTCGACATGGCGGCGCTGGCCCACTTTGGCGCACCCCTCACACGGTTCGTGGCCCCATAGGGGGTTCATCCGAAGGCCCCAGTGGCGGAGTTCGACATGGCGTCGCCGCCTCATTTTGTCGCACCCCTCACGCGCTCCGTGGCCCCATGTGGAGCTCCAGCGAGGGCCCCACTGGCAAGGTCCACCTGGCGGTGCCGCTCTAGTCTGTCGCACCCCTCACACGGTTCGTGGCCCCATGGGCAGCTCCACCGAAGGCCCCACCGGCGGAATTCGTACGGCGGCGCCGCCACTTGGGCGCACCCCTCAAACGGGTTGTGGCCCCATAGGGAGCTCCACAGACATCAACGCCACCCCACGGCATTCACAACTGCACATGGCTGGATCCTTCGCCTTGGTAATGTGTTTGAATGAGTTTGGCGTTTGCCCCTTGTCTGCCCTGCGACGGCCCAAGAGGCCCCCACGATCGTCCCCGGAGCGCCCAAGAGGGCCCGCACAAGCCCCCAAAAGCCCCCAAGAGGCCGAAGGAGACCCCCACGAGGCCTCCAAGAGGCTCCCATGAAGCTCCCAGGAGACCACACAAATGCCCCAAGAGACTCCCAAGAGCCAAGAGGTCTCCTCCTCCTTCCCCTTTTCTCCCAACCATTCTGAGGTGGTGGGTCCTCAATTTGAAAAGACAACGCCCCGCACTCTCCTCCCGCCTCCTTCCTCCCGCCTCCTCCCTACTCCCATCCTTGCCTCTGCCCTCCGCATGCCTGTGTTCCGGAGCGCCCAGTGCAACGCTTCGTGGCCCCGTACGGAGCTCCACCGAAGGCACCAACGGCAGGGTCCACATGGCGGCGCCGCCCCATTCTGGCGGACCCCTCACACGGTTCGTGGCCAAATAGTGAGCTCCACCCAAGGCCCAAGCAGCAGGGTCCACGTGGCGGCGCCGCCGCAATTTGGCGCACCCCTCACACGGTTCGTGGTCCCATAGGGGGCCCCACCGAGGGCTGGGTCCACATGGCGGCGCCGCCGCATTTTGGCGCACCCCTCTAACGGTTCGTGGCCCCATAGGGGGCTCCACCCATCTGGCGGCACCGACCCATTTTGGCGCACCCCTCAGACGGTGCGTGGCCCCAGAGGGAGCTCCACCGAAGGCCCAAGCAGCAAGGTCCACGCGGCGGCGCCGCCGCATTTTGTCGCACACCTCACACGGTTCGTGGCTCCATAGGCAGCTCCATCGAAGTCCCCAGCGGCAAGGTCCACATGGCGGCGCCCCTTTGGGCGTATGATTCACACGGTTCGTGGCCACATAGGGAGCTCCACGGAAAGCGGCGCCATTGGCGGACATCGCACGGCGGTGCCGCCCCCTTTTGGCGTACCCCTCACACGGTTCGTGGCCCCATAGGGAGCTCCACCGAAAGCGGCGCCCCAACACGGTATTCACAACTGCGCATGGTTGGGTCCTTCGCCAGGATTATTATCTTCCTCCTCCTCTGCCTCCCCCCTCCTCCTCCTTCTCCTCCTCGCTTTTCCTTCATTCTCTTCTTCCTCACGTGTTCGCCGAAGGCTTTAAACAACGGCTGGGGGGACACATGGTCCGATAGATTGGCCAAGCTCTGGCCGAACTTTCGACCACACCGGTGCTTCCAAGAAGGCAAGGGGCGGCGCTGTTTCGCCGTAGGCGTCTTCTATACTCTTGGCGCAGGCGTGGCATGATCTCGTCCTTCTTGTCGCCAGCTGCCTTGACCTGCGCATCAAGAGTGCCGACAAAGGCCTTGAACGCGGCCTCGAGCTCTTCGATCTCGGCCTTACCAGCCGCGATGAACTCGTCGAGCTCGCTGACACTCATGTCGGAGAATTTGGCGATATCTGCTTTCTTTGCGTCGTCACACAAATCTAGGTTCTTCGGTCCACACTGCGGGCCAAGATTAGCTTTCGCGAATGTGCTCAACTCATCGAATTTCCGGCCACCCTCATAATCTTGGAGGTCGTTGGGGTCACCGTACTTGATGGTGGGGAAGCCCTGGACGCCCATCGCGTCGCAGAGCGACTTGCCATCGGCTGTGCAGTCGACGTCCGCAATCAAGGCAGTTTTAGAATCCTTGAATTCAGCCATCAATTTCTCCCAATCGGCTTTCATCGACTTGCAATGTCCTCACCATGGCGCCTGGAACTTCACGAAGACCGCCTCAGAACTTGTTTCAGTTCATATACGTGTCCTTTTCGACGAACTCGCTTGTCTGGGCATAATGCGACAGGCGAGTTCATCGAGAAAGGATTCATACCTGTACTAAGACACCGCCTTGTCGACTACAGCGCTGTCCCACGTGTCCTGAGTGAGCTCCATGGCCGCACCGAGACCCAAGAACAGAGCAGAACGGCAGAGCTGTATAGCCATTGTGATACAAAAGCAGAAAGGGGCAGCTGAGAGCAAGCGCGAAAGGACCTCGGCCCCCTAGTCACGATCCTGTGAGCCCAACTGGCTACACATGCAAACACAATACCACTAGACGTGCCCATGTCGGAGATCACTCCCAATAACCATGGCGCGCCCCTACTGCCATGTGCCTCTGCTGCGCTGATCCCACGATGTACCTGTCGGCTCGCCTTGTTGCATCTTGCTGCTGCCAGCCCCATTCGCACCCGCAACCCCTCCACTCCCTACTCCCCTCCCACCTCGTCCCCTCTGCATTCCTCTTGTCAATGTCCTCGCCATCCTCGCAACCATCGTCGTCGTGTCGCTCTCGCCGTTACCGTCGATGTCGTCGCCACTGTGCCCGTCGGAGATCGGCCGCTGCAGCTGACCCCTGTTTGCATCGACTGACCCACGTCTCTTGAGCCCCGAGCTCCTCCTCCCCCTAGCTCCTCCTCCTCCGTGGGCTTAGGGGAGCTCCTCCTAGCTCCTCCTAGGAGGAGCTAGGAGGAGGAGCTCCTCCTAGCTCCTCCTCCTCCTAGCTCCTCCTAGCTCCTCCTCCTCCTCCTACTCCTGCTCCTCCTCCTCCTCCATGGGGGGAAGCGGGTCCCAGACCCTGGGGCCTCCCCCACGGACCAGAGCCTCATCCCGGATCGCTCCCTCACGGCCCGAGGGGTGGGGCCCGGGGAGGACCCCGAGGGCCCGAACATGCCGAACAGGACCCCGATCGGCCCGCTTCCCCCCCGCCGGCCATCCGCGAGCGCTCGCCGTACGGGAAGCGCCGGGCGCCGTTGTGGTCGGACGAGAGCATGGCGTAGCTGGGGATGCGGTGGGTCCGGCCGGCCAGGCGGAAGGCCTGCTCGTGCGGGAAGGGCCTCCGGCCGCGGCCCCGGGGCCACGGGGGGCGGCGCGCGCGAGGGAGGGGGGGGGGCGTGCCCAGGCCCCCGGGCGCTGTGGAGACGTCGCGGCGGGAGGTCTTGCGGGACGGTCGGCCTCCCATGGGGCCTCGCCGGGCCTGCGGGGGGAGCGTGGGGAAGCGGGGCGGGAGGCAGGCCGGGCCCCGGGGAAGGGGTCGGGGCTGTGGGGGGGTGACGCTGTGCAGAAATCATGGCGTCGGGGGGCTGGGTGTGGGCATGCATGCAGAAATACATGATTGCATACGTGCATACATACATGCATGCATGCATTATGTCATACATCACACACACACATGTATGCATGTATGCATACTGGTATACATACATATACATACATAGGCATACGTGTGCATGCATATATACATATACACACATACATGTACATACATATGCATACACACATCCATAGACATGCACACATTTACATACACACATACGTACCTACATACATGACTAACCATACATACATGTATACATACACACATACAACATTTCTGCATACATACAAGCATACGTACCTAGCCATACATACATACATGCATACACACGCACACACACATACATACATACATACACAAACACACACACATACATAAAACATACATACATACATACATACATACATACATACATACATACATACATACATACATACATACATACACACACACATACATACATACATACATACATACATACATACATACATACATACATACATACATACATGCATACACACATACATTCACACATACATACACATACATACACACATATACACATACATATATACATGCATACATACAGACATACACACTTACATACACACATACATACACACATACACATACATACACACATACACATACATACACAAATACACCCATACATACATACAACCATACATACACACATACACATGCATACATACAGACATGCATACATGCATACACATACACATACATGTACACATACATACACATACATTTACACATACATACACATACACACCGATACGATTAGGACCACCTCTATCATCTGTGTGCGTCTGCGCTGTTCTGGACACCCTGAACCCTCAGGACGCATTGTTCACGTCCGCCGGCTTCCGCCGACATTCCTCCCGCCCTCCGCTGGCGGAGCCGCCCTCTCTTCAGTTCCGACGCCTTCGGCCGACTTGCCGCCGCCTCCCGACGAGGAAGACACGGCAACTCCTTCGATTCCCGGCGTCAACAGACTTTCTGGATCGCCTTGTTATGTGTACAGGTGTATTGATCTGCACATTACTTTACTTATGTATATGTATGTATATATATATGTATATATATATATATGTAGATATGGGGTTGCAACCAGGCTGCGCGGATGAAGTTGCCTGTGCCCTGCGCCAGTCCCAGCTCCAAGTCTCCAGTGTTATATAGCTCGACGTTCTGCTCCCAGCTTAAGATGTTGGTGTCTGGACCAGGGGAGGGACCGAACACAAGTTTTTTACCACCCGCCCCCTGGGTTCTAAGAACTCCCTGGGGGTCCTAAAACCATGCAAAGTACACAGGAATCGCGCCCCCGAGTCTAGAATCTTGAATAACATTGAGCCAGGATCGTGCTCCCGAAGCTGGAATCCTTCGACGTTGCGCCAAATTTGCGCTCCCGTGGCCAAGACCCAATACAACTTACGCCAAATTTGCGCTCCCAGAACTTCAACCCGTACAAAGTTACAAGACAATCCGCGCTCCCGAAAACAGTGCCCCTTGTGTCTTACTTCACATCCGCGCTCCCGAAGCCGAAAGTATCCCGTAACTTACTCTGGATTCGCGCTCCCGAAATCAGATTCGCGGCGAAACCATAACACCACATTCGCGCTCCCGAAGCCACTCCCGAGGCGCCCTATTCGCGATCCCGAAGCCAGCTTCTCCCGCAAATTGCGCCAGATGCGCGCGGGGAGCGCCCCACAAGTGCAACAAAGTGTTCAATCATGGCCCCAACATGTCAATATGTGCCGCTGATTTCCATCGGTCCGCGCATGGTGTTCCAAAATGTCTTTCAAACGGCGCCCAAGCGCCCCACCACGGCTCTGACAGCTTTCATTGTGATGGATAAGGAGTCGGCGGCGGCATACGGCGAACAGGACGGCCCCAAGAAAGCCAAAATCGGCCCCATGACGTCTGACCACGGCTCCCCTGCTCCAAAAGGGAACGCGGAGCAACCGCTCCCCGCCCTGACTTCCCAACAATTTTTGTCGGAAAGTGCCGTCCACTAGAAGCGCGAACTGAACGAACCATGACCCCAAATGGTTTACGAGAGCGCGGAATCGCTAATCGAAACACCACCGACTTCCCGGAGACCCCGCGCAACCTGAACCTCGACTCCCACAAAAACCGCGAGCCGTGAACGTCCCAACGCGATCAGGTACCGAACCAACTTTCCAAATATGATGGTGGTTGCAACAAATATCTCTATCTCTGTGAAATCATAGATGTCTCATCCATACGATGTACATCAATGTGCATACCTGTATCCATGGGTCTGAACATACGCGCTTCCATAATCCAGACGTGTACATGTTTAACCTGAATGTTAATTTGTTAATTGGCATTGGCCTGAATCGTTGTGTTTCCGGCAACCAGCCTTGGACACACGTGGTGCTAGTAGTATAGAGAATGAGATGGAGTGCACTATAGGTGGTTCCAATCATCATGGTGCGACCTGTTTTGCGCAATATATGTCGTATGAGATTTGCTGTGCACTGCTTGCGGTGTCATATATGTCGGTCGGAGAAGCTGCGCGATTTATATGGTGCAAGCTGTGTGGTGCATCGCACGTGGTACAATTTATGCGGTGAAACCCATGGGATGCAACATGTGTGGTGCAATACTTGCGGTGCGAACTATGGGATGCATCTTATTTTAAAAAATGAGTTTACACATCCCATGCTTTTGTAACCATCCCATCCACCCACCCGCAATTTGGTTTGCAAAACACATGCAGTGGCGATTGCGACGAATGGGTGGCATTGGCTTGTGCATCTCTGCGGTCGCGCCAACCGAAGCACGCGCGCGCGCAGCGGACAACTAGATTGGCGCGACCGACGTGGCCGCGGTGGCGTTGACCGCTGGGCAGATCCCAGCGGGCACGTGCGAGTCGGCGATTTGGGCGGGGTCGGTATCATGGCAGCGTCGACAACGGCAGAAACGATGACGATAGTAACGATGCTGTCGGCGATGTTGGCAACGACGACGAGGCGGCCAGTGCGGGCGCCGATGCTGATCACGCCGGCGACGATGACAGCGTCCTCGCGTCGCTGATAAAACAGACTGCGGAAAGAGTTCGACATGCGCGCGCGGCCGATGCGCGAGATTGGGCCGCATGGTATTACTTGACTCGGATCGTGCCTCACCCATCACGCGCGCAAGGGCGTGCGAATGATTTCGGTATGCGGCGCCAGAGACCCCTCTGGGCAAAATCCCCTGAGCATGTTAAACAATCGATGGTTTTCTCAAAATGCCGCAAGAGCGCGAGCGCATGTTTTTTTTTTGGTTTGAAAACTCATGGTGCGAACCAATATGTTGTTACCTGCGCTTTGGATACTCGAGCTTGAAATCCTTGCAACAATCGAAGGTTTGGGGGAGATTTCGGTATTTTGATGTCCGCACGCGCGTGCAATTCCTTTTATCTGTAGCAAAAAACTCTCGCGACGGCACGCGCGCAAAAGGCGTTCCAACGATTTCGACATGCGCGCGCGAGACCGGTTCGGTAGCACTCCCTGAAACAATGAAGGCAACAATGTTTTTAACAATTCGCGATGGCGCCCGCGTTTTTCTTTGGAAAATAAATGAATCCGTGTTGCGAAACTCTGTGTGTTTTACATTTGTTTTGGACAGTCGGTTTTGAAGTCGGTACGACACCGAAGGTTTGTAAAGGATTTCGGCAGGCGCGCGCAACGACGAGCGCGTGCGCACTTCGTTCCATCTGTTGAACTGCATTTTTGAAAACTGCTGCTTTTTGATAAACAAATGCTCGCGCATAGCATTTGTTCAAGAAGATGCCGGGGGGGATACCCGCTCGGCTAGGATGATATGGGTTCATATATAGGATGGCCGATGGGGCAGACTCGTATATACATTGCACTACAAAGAAAAGTGTGTTGATAACTTCGGGGGTGGGGAGGGGGGTAGAATCTATTCTCTCTTGAAAAAAGAAAATCCAATACTCCATTAGAAATTGTCAACTCCACTGTCCGCGCAATCGTCCCACCCACCCACCCGCAACCTGGTTTGCAAAACCCATGCGGAAGCGATTGTGATGAGAGCTTGGTGTTGGCTGGTTCATCTCTGCGGCCGCGGTGGCGCTGACCGCTGGGCACATTCAGGCCGGCGCTCCAATGCGAGTCGGCGATTTGGGCGGGCGCGGTTCACGGCGACGTCGACAACGGTAAACACGATGATGATAGTAGCGATGCTGGTGGCGATGTTGACAACGGCGACGGCACGGCAAGTGACGGCGCCGATGCTGACCACGCCAACGACGATGACAGCGTCCTCGCGTCGGTGATGAAGGTTGTGGAAGGAATTCGACATGCGCGTGCGGCCGACGCGCGAGAGTGGGCCGCATGGTACTATTCGACACGGATCGTGTCCCCTCAGCGCGCGCGCAAGGGCGTTCGAATGAGTTCGGCATGCGGCGCGACAGGCCCGTTTGGCAGAATTCCACGAAACTGTTGAACAAAAAAAGGGTTTTCTGATGGACTCGCAAGATTGCGAGCGCATGTTTGATTGAAAACTGTTGTTGCGAATCCATATGTTCTTATATGGTTTCGGAACACACTGGATTTACATCCTTACCAAACCGACGGCCCTTGTTATACATATATGTATATATGTAGATGTATATATATATATAT